GAGGGGAAGGAGAAGGAGAGGGGAAGGAGAAGGAGAGGGGAAGGAGAAGGAGAGGGGAAGGAGAAGGGAAGGAGAAGGAGAAGGAAGGAGAAGGGAAGGAGAAGGAGAAGGGAAGGAGAAGGAGAAGGGAAGGAGAAGGAGAGGGTAAAGGAAGAAGAAGAGTTAATTCTGTAGATATTACTATTTTGCAGATATTCTCTCAAAGATTAAACGGATGAACATACAGCCTCTTGACACTTACTGCACTTCTTCTCGAAGAGCACTACAAAATAATTTAAGCAATAGACACTCTTCTCTTTGATTTGTTCCAAAGTTGAAGAGAGACCAAATGACTGTCTTGATGAACATTGAAGTTTTGTCTTTTGGTAGGCAGAAAAGAAGTTTTGCCAAGTAATTGGGGCATGTTTGCAACATATAAAACAAATGTTGATAGCCTTCTAATCTCCTACGGCTATCTTTTGTCAAGGATTTCAAACCTTTGACACCCATTGTCTCACTTGAGAAACTCCTAAGAGCCAAGTCGTTCAGATTCTTGCTATGAGCAATAACATCCTGAAAAATACAAAATACACAAATACCATTAAATGAAATTTTAAAATAAGATGACCATTAAATGAAATTTTAAAGTAAGATGACCAATGGTCAAAAAATGAAAATGTATCTTGAGTACAACAATATCAAATACCCAGGTAGTAGGAAGTTCATACCTGCAATGAAATTCTGTTCTGAACCAAAAGCCCAATCTTAATATCCATTGTATCCAACTGTTTTGCTAACTGTTGATTATGGCGAATTGCTTGAGTAACTTGGGCTTTGAGGTTCTATAACAACCAATAAAACATATCGATTTATTTTTAAAATGTACTGCGAATACCATGCAAAAAAGTAATACATTCTCAACATATTATGTAAATTATTTATGAAACATTACAGACTATATAATTTATTTAATTGGACAAAAGATTTTTATTGTCACACATTAATACCACACCTGTAGTTGAAGCTCCCTTGTATAATCATCATTATTGATATTTAAGTATGGCGCAAATTGACGAATCACTTGAAAAGAGGCCTTAGTTTTGTGGAATAATGATATGAAAGCTTTCCTTGCCTGACGACCTCTCCAAATGGATTGAATTTTTATTATCTTCTCTTCCTACATACAATACATAAATAAATATTACTGAATAACTAGACCAGAAAACACACCCCAATTTTTGATATATGAAAGGCAAAAGCATTTACTTCACATTGATAACGCCTTAAGATATCATCAAACTTGAGACTTTTTCTTGTGTTTCTTCGTTGCTGCAAGGCTAAAACAAATTTCTGTCTCTGCACAACTCCGCGCCACCATGCCTGAAACACACACAATTTATCAAAAAGCTATTCAGCCCCCAAAACAAATTTCTTTGACTTCACTTACACTTAATTCTTAATGTATACTATACCTGAATGATTAATGCACACTTTTCTCTCTTCATTTCCCAGAATAATTTGCGTGCAAGATAGCCACGAATATAACTTTGCAAACGTACAATAAAAACTTCATTAATGTATGCTCTTTTACCTTGCTCTTCATGAAGTTTGCAAATTATTTTCTAAAAAGAAACATCCTGATTTGTAACACTATTCCAGATTGGTATATTTCTAAAACTGACATCAAAACAAATCATTACAAGTCATATGAGGAATGATTCAACCTGAACAAAATGTAGATTATAGAAACAAATCTGACAACCCAGACAGGATTTGGAAGCACAGCAAACTGACGCGGTGTTAGAACTTTCCCATATCATTCAGTATGTCACTTATAATAAACTCTTACACAATAAAACATTGCCATATATTCCATCACTCTCTAGCATTTCTCTTCATAAAAGTACCAATTTTTAACATGCGCACGCACACGAATGCAACATCATTTAAAGTACATTTCATAAATGAAATAAGTGAACAAATCGCCTCTAATGTAGATATTAACGACATGAAAGATAAACAAAATTAAATGTTTGTAATTTTGAAAACCAAAAGAATAGAGCAAAATGGTGTTTATATCAACTTATAGAGTGCATTTAGAACTACCCATACACTAAGTTAAAAG